TGAAAATTACCACGCCGAATTTGGTGATCGTAGGAATCATGAATACGATAGTTATATTTATGTCAATATACGTATCGGACGCAATCGGGATATTTATTTAGTTTTGATAACCACTTAAATATTWTTTCCTACCTAATATGGACGGGCCGCAATCGGGATAGGCGAAAAGGTAAAAAGGTTACTTTGGGCCGCAATCGGGCGACACCCCCAGTAACTACGGTATTACCGGTTATACGGTATTTTCAGTAATTACCGAAAATACCGAGATGTTGTAATTACCGTAAATACCGAGGACTACTTAGTTTATTTTCTCTCTCAATAATCCCGTCCGTCTCTTAACAATGTCCATTAGTTTATAGGTTTATGGTCTATACTCTATGTTCGTAATACATACCGTGTCCCGGTGAATTTATAAGTGTTTCTTTAAAAGTGTAAATATTGCCGCATAGAGCGGACGGGACCCCCTCCCGATCCTCGAGATTGGCAGCATTATTATTATATTAACATTTTTTAGAAGGTTAAAATAAAGCTTGTTTGTTTCCCGATGAGTTTCTAACAGTTAAGTATCGTATCATATATCATATTATTATACTTACAAAAACAATGCTGTTTATTTAAATAGTTATTTGGTTTTTACAATTATACCAATGTAAAGTAAAAGAACACTTGCATTTGTATAAATGTTTAACTAGCTGCTTCTATAACAAAAATTCAAAATCTTAAAAACTATTTTAATATAAATAATATAGTATGTAATATGTTGTAGGTAGGTACAAATTGTTTGGTTATTTGTTCCTCCAATATTTTCTTAAAACCAAAATAACAATCATAAGTACAAGATATACAAATTATACATTTAATATACATTTTAATTTGTATTTTAATAATAAACATAATTTTCACTTTTATATAATAGACAATTACATAATAAAGATAATCTTAAAAACTATATAATATGTAATATGTTAATATAATAATACCTAGACAATTACATATATAAGGTACAACCTTAACAACACATAGACCTTCCCAGGAAGGTCTTGGGACTGATTTTTGAGACTCTGAGTCTCTTAATAGGAAATGCCTGTTTAAATCCCAGACCGATCTGGGTAGGTCTTAGGCGGTCTGTAGGATTCCTAATGTCCGGGTTCAGACTTTCYACAAGACTGCCCGCCAGGAACCAACTGGCCGGTGATACAACATGGACCATTATGGCCTGTATATTTCTCATTATATTCCTGTTTGCAGTCTATTAAGGTCCTGGAAACTTMTTGAAAAGGTTATAAATATATCCCAATAAGGTCTCAACGGTTCCTGTTTGAGTCTTGTAAGGAATTCATTTTGGATCCAAAAAATCTACTGGAATAATATATCCCTTATTTATGTCCTATTGAGGAGTCAACCTTACCCTTACTTAAGTGTTGTAATTTGTAAAAAAATACATTTACATTTTTAATTATTTATAATTAGATGAGTAAAGCTTATTGTCAATAGGGATTTTAACATGACCCCATTCAATTATTTTAAGCTTTCATAAATTTTAAAAATTAACAACTATTTTTCTCCGTTTTTTTTTTTGCAAGCACTTCATCGATCTCAGAATTTAAGTCTTCAGCTTCAGATAATTGCAAAGCAATTTTTAAATTTTGTTTTGCCCTAATAAAGTTATCTAAATAATAATAAAAACAACAATTCATTATTTGTATAATGGACAATAATTTAATTTTTAATACCAGAAGAACCCCAAATTTTTTTTATGGAAAATGTTTTCCATGAAGACTCATATGGAACGGTATTAAGGACCAGTTTGTCATTTTTCTTGGAGTTTATATTTTCTGGGTAAAATGTTTCTGTCTGGTTAGATGATATCCAATTGTGTGGAACTAGTTGAACACCATCAACAAATTCAACTATTACGTAATTCCTAGAAATATTACTCTTAATTAATTTAATGTATTTTATAAAAACATTTTTTTAAAGATCATAAGTTGTATAATAGTAAATAAATAAATATATAATGTTAAATAGGTAGTGTTAAAACATTCTAACCTCATTAATTTAGCTTTTGTTAGTAATTTAAATTTCATAAGCTTGGTCTTTCATCATTGTCAATGTAAAATCAATGTAAAAGTGGAAAGGCAGCAAAACATTCCAAATTAATTTCACACAAAAAGGATTTTGTGTTAACATTATTTAAGGGCCATATATTTCTCATAGAAAGATTTGAAACCATAAAAATACCCAAATGAAARGATACACAAGGTTCAGTATACAATGGTTTTATTTCCAAAAATTCTTTACCGATTATGTAACTTTCGTTATTTACTTTGGAGCATATTATATTCTCAATAATAACTATTTTTCCTGAAGTAAGACCACAAATATTATTTGCTTTTGTTTGAATTTTAAATGTCATATTTTTAAATAATAAAGTTGAAAATTGAAAATCTGGACAACTATTTAAAAGAGGACCATTAGTATGAGGGTTTTTAAAACTTATATTATCATTATAAGCTTCATATAAGAAGATGTTGGAGCGATTTAAAATGAAATTCCCTTCTATAAGACCAACTACAATCATGATTGATTTTCAGACAGGCCTCCGGAATGCTTATACTGCAGTTTATCCCGAAGAAAACCTATTTTCTTGTTGGTTTCATTACATATAGGTTTGAAATTTATTGCAGTTACACACACATTTTTTAACACTGCATATTTTATAAATTAGTTGTTTGGATAAAAAAGTTAGTTAAAAAATTGAATGTTTTTTAATACTTTTAGTCTACAGAAGAACATTAAAAAGTTGGGTTACACACGTTATGTTAAAGAGAATATGGCAGCAAAAATGACTGCAGCTTTAGCACTATTACCAGAGTATCAAATAGAAACGGGTTTTGAAGACGTAAAAATGTACGCTCAAGCTAATAATGTTCAGCTTCCAAGGCTCTTTACATATTTTTRTAGGTAAAATACAATAAACATTTTGAAAAATGATAAAATGAAGAACAAAATATATTAATCTTAATATTATCTTTAAATTTAAATAGCTTTTGGATTATTAGGAAGGGACCCGAATGTTTTACTGTACATGGTCAACCACGCCGTACAAATAACAACGTGGAAAGTTTTCATTCGTCCCTAAAGCAAACTTTTCAGGTACTGCATCCAAACCTATGGAAATTTCTAGGTTAGTAATAAAAGTTGTGTAATTAAATGTTAAAACTTGGTGATTATAGTATTTTAGTATTTTACATTCAATTTTAATATAATTTATTAATTTGTATTAAATGATTAGGTACTGTGTGTTTGTTTTAATGTTAAATCACTACCTAATAAAAATGTTTTGGTCATATAGAACATTTGAATAATATAACCACCAAGCAGCAAACCATTGTGTGCAGCAACTGGCTAGGGGTGTGACAACAATAAGGTCCACTAAATTTAAATATATTTTAAATTCAGTGAGAATAAGAAATTCCACGGACCTTTTAAAGACTGGTGTAATAACCGTGAAAGAGTTCCTCATTCAATRCTCTCATGCTGCCGACTCTTATTTAGAACGAGAATTGAACTGGGAAGATGAAGCTCAAAGTATGTACCTATAGAAAACACTTTTAAAATATAAAGAGTAAAGAGAAAAGAGGTAGAAAATGTTCTATAAAAATCCTGATTATAATCTTACTATATCGTAAGGTTCTGTTTACAAATGTGTATGGTAATTTTTTATATAATTGGTAATATTCTTAAAAATAGTGGGCATTGAGGGCACATATTTAAGTCCCCAAAAAAATTATGTGTGTAATTTTGGTATAACGTTAGAGTTGATAATTACTGATACTGATAATTTTGTCTTGTAATATGCAAAATGTAATTGATGAAGGKATCATGATATTGCTTGTTTTTAAATTTAAATTTTCAATATTCATTGCCCTTAGACAATCAAACTCCTGCCCATATAGATATGTATGTATGTGTATATGTACATAATATGTATGTATTGATAAACATTTTAAGTAACAATTTAACCTAAAGGTTAATAAGAAAAGTAATTAATCTTTAAAACTTTAAAAGTACATAATATTAAGGTCATAGTGGCTCTAGTTACCATTAACACGTTCAATGCCGATGCCTATTTGTGGTTCCGATACCGCGTCGCCGCAACGAATTTATGCTCGGTCGACTACGCGTCGACATCGGCCACCGGCGCTCTGCTTTATTATTATTTTGATAAATATGTATACATTCGACTACAATACATTGAATAAAACTTCCCTATTCGAACATACATCATATTTAAATTAATATAGACTTATAAATTGAATGGAAATAAAAATTTTAAAAATCATTTTTATTTTTAGATTTCAATAAAATATGACATCATTTAGTATATTATTGTACTTCAAAATAAATATGTTTTTCAATATTTATTTTAAATCTGAATAAAATACGGTAACTTGTATAATAGAAAAGAATATATTAACAAATAATTAATCAAAAAATTATAAAAATTATTTTATAAAAAATAATAAWTATGTAATTGCTTATTACATTCGAAAAAAATACGTTATTATAATTATTACATACGAAAAATAAATTTAAAAATACGTAATTACTTATTACAAACGTTAAAAAAAAATTATAAAAAATATGTAATTGGGTACTTATTACCTAAATACGAAAAAAAATACGAGTATCAAGTATATAAATCATAAATTTAATCACTTTGGTGATAACGCTCAAAACATGGCTCAATACAAAGTCCTGGTTTATCCTCACATTTTGGGCAAAAATACACACATAGAAAACTGCAGTAGATTCAACACAAAATGGTGTTAATATTATACACATTTGCACGTTATTTTCCAGCTTAGCCGAGTTTGGTGTTGATACAACACTTACATGTCACTTAAACGGCAAGTGTAGATTAAACATTTAATTAATTTGTATTGACCGTAGTATATGGTTAAAATGACAACAACCTATGTTAAAATAAAGTATTATAACAGTCACATTATCTTCGAAAAAAATAAGTAGCTACTATAGTTACTTGTAGAAATAGCAACTATTAATTGTTAAAAATAGTCCATAAAGTGTAAATTTAATATTTGAAGATTGTTGTAGAAATAACTCTACCTAATWAATAGTTATGAAATTCGTATCAACAAAAGCTAAATTAACTTTTGAATTTATTATCTAATTGTTGAAATGACAACAAATTGTTGTTAAATCAAAGCCACCATTGGTGTAAACCCAATATAATTATTAATTTTAATAATGCCTACACTGATATATCTATAGAAAAAAAAGGATTTRGTCCATTCAACCGGCATACAGTATACATACGTCCTACAGTACTACAGTAGGTATATAATATTTTACATATTACATCTAGTAGGTATATTTTATATTCATAATATAAATACTTGCACTTTTGACAACAAAAATCAAGCCATAAATAAAAAATTAACAGTTTGCTTTATTTAATATAAATATATAAATACATAAGTAACATAATATACATTTTATTCATACAATATTAATGTAGGTAAGTAGGTACACCTACTTGATAAAAATATAATATCACTAGCACGGAGGGCTAATATAATATCATATAACATGATGAAGAAATAGGTACATACCTAATAAAACTAGTTTGTAAACTTAAAACAACCTACCTGGTTGCATAAATAACAATAATCATAAATAATTTATTATAATATTTACAATGCATATCTTAAACTAGCACACAGTTTACCATTTCCAAGAACACGAAGTATAGTTGGGGTAGAGTCTTTTAAATCTTTTAAATAACAACCAATAAGGTTAGATTCTCTTTCATTATATTTTTTAATTTCATAAGCATGAAAATGGCTATCGAAACCCACGGTTAAAAATAGTTTACACACTAAATATGGCATTCTTGACTTGTTAACAAGAATATAAAGTATATCACCAAAAATACAACCGTTTAAATCAATATCAATTATTGATAACATTCCAGGTTTATATTGAACTCCTTCAAGATGGACCCAAGGAACTGAAAATGTATCACTTTTAAATTCATTAGGTAATGAATTAAAAAAATTGATATTGAAATCTTCGGAAGCAATAATTTTTAAACATGGCCCCACTTTTAAATCTAATTCCAGCCCTTTTTGAAATAGAAAACGATGAATCATCTGTACTTGAAGTTTGTGTGATAATGTATGTCCTAGATTTATTCTACATGGTATAGAGTTGGCATATGCCTTTAAAACTTTGTGTTTTGCTTCATATCTTAATGAGGAAGTAAATGAAATAGVGCCATTTTTAAGAAGTAAGCGACTATAATGTGTTAAAAAATGAAATTTAGGTTTAAGGGTGCTATTAGAAAAAAATAAATACAGTTTATTATGTTCAGAAACTAACGTGTCTAATTGATGTGCACACTCACGTTGTAAAACCCGGGCACAGCAAATATCAACTATCTTTCTCAGGCTAGTATATAACTCCCAGATTTTAGTGCCCACTGGGACCAATTCACCAACAATTAGCCCAAAATATCGTACTAAATAGAACATCTCAGAGGCTGACATGATTATACAGTTATTATTAAGATTAGTTTTACTAATTGTTGGTGGTTTATTTTTGCACTCATTAACTCCATACTCAAATAATAATAATCGATTATTTAAATTTTCAAGTGAAAAATATTTATTATTTATTAAGTAATTGATTATAAGAGCCATATCATATCTTGCGACTCCTTCAGATACATCATGCATAAAAACACACACCATGTTGACTGTAACATGATAGTTAGGAATTTCATTGAAAACACAATATGAATTTATACCAGTCTCTGAAACATTATTTTTTTGCACATCTGATTCATAATTTTCTTTATTTCTAATTGTTTCAACGGATTCTATAAGCATGTTTTGCATTTGATTTTTAGGGGAACGACATGTACGAMAATAGTAGTTCGCGGAGAAACTTTCAACAAAGCCTAGTAAAGAATTAAGGCCTAAATTGTCTCCTAAAATTAATGCAAGACCAAAATATATAGTAATATTAGTTGAATTAACACAAATAAAAATTCCATTTTCTTGCAAGTCTATAAGTTCTGTTATCAGAGAAGAAAATAAGGTTTTATTATTAATATTTTGTTCTCCTTGATCTGTGGAATGAAAAAGAAATGCTGGAAAAATATTTTCTAAGGCAGACAAGTATTCGGGAGGTATTGCCGGGATAGTATAGTACACACATCCCATTTTGTGTACACCTGAATGTGAACCAAGTGGCTTCCCCATCTCAGCATCATCAAAATATAAAAACATTGGGTAAATTATTTTATTTTGAAAGTTTTTTTAAATATTTTTCCAAGTGGTTCCATCTATAAATGATGATAATAAATCAGAATTTTCTGAATTTGAAATAAACTCATTAGCTGCATCATACACACCAGGTAACTCAAAAAATCTTTTTAGATTATCTTTAATAGGAAATAAATGACCTTGAACCTGTACCATAATTTGGCGCTCAACCCCGGACACAATTTTTTGCTGATTTACAAACCCAGCAACAACTGTTTTTGGTTTAGAAAATAAATTATTTGTTTTAAAATACTTAAAACGCTGATACTCAGTCCTAATCTCAGTCCTAAATTCTGAAAATGGATTTTCTAAAACAGTAAGCATTTTTTCAATTTCAGCTACTTCAGTTTTATTAGAATTAAATAAATAAGGCATAGTTTTTAAATTGGATATAATCCCAGATGAGAACAGTTCTGTTGCCCCGTCAACTATTTCTTGCATCAGAGATTCAGTAACATTAGGGTTTGTGTATAATTTTGTTATGAATTGTAATGCACAATTCCTCACAACATCTTCAAAAGATTTATAAAAATAGTTTATTTCATTTGTACCTATGATATCCTCAATGTGTATACTACTATTATTAATATTTACAACTTCTTCAGGCAGATTTAAGACAGGAGTAATATCATCTGAAGTTTGACAAGTATTATTAAAAGAAAATTGATGGGTTACGTCAGGTATTAAATGAACTCTTTTTAAATGTTGTCTGAATTTTTCTGAACCATCAAAGTCTCTTATACAGCCTTGCTGATTACATTTGTACTTKGAGCTTTTCCTCAGATTATGATAAATTTGAAAATGTGACATAAGTTGGTTAATAGAAGAGCCCGAAGAGCATATAAAACAAACAAACATTTTTATAATTTTAATTTATAATTGCTTAGGTAATTAATAATTTTTGAACAACAGCTTTAAATAAAAATACGAACTTAGAGCTTATCAATTTGATTGAGAAACATAAAATATAGTAAAGTACTAAATATACTTAAATTAATTAATTATAGATGCTTCAAATGATTGCATTTTGGCAGATACTGTAGTTGTGATAGAAGTTTGTTTATCATACTCTGTATTCAACTTAAATAAATGCTTTTGTATAATCAGCCATGCATCATAACATTCTTTAGGATAAATACAATGGAACACGAAATATGATTTGAAACAAACCTCTAGAGCCTTTAAAGGACACTCTAAATGCCAAAATTTTTGGTTTACACGGACATAACATGTATGTATGGATTGGATATCCTCCCCGATAAAAGTGATAAATGGTTAAATTGAGGATCCATACTGTGAGTATCTGTCTTGCCTTTGTGTCAAATCTTCATTTTTATTATAAAGGAGATGTGAATTTTAAAATATTTACAATTTAAATACATATTTGCAAAAAATGTATGCCAATTTTTTTATACCACCGTAGCGTCTTCCGTTCACACGGATAGTACKCCATCCTTTGATCCTGACGATCTATCCCTGACATGAAACGATTATATTGTACTACTGTCTCTGGTTTCATTTTTAGGTACAGTACCACGTCTATTAGTTGCCTAGTCCATTTCACCTTTAAATTCAGAACTAATTGGGATAACTTCCCGCCGGTCCTTCCACTTTGCAACACATACTCTATCACTCGTGTACTTACATATAGACTCTCCAACTTTAATTTTTTTTTCARTTACACTTTTAGGATTTTTTGATCTGTTGCTTCTAAGCGTTCCAGTACAATACGTTTTTTTTTCTTAAAGTTTATGGGCTAAATCGAYGCTGTTATAATAGTTATCCATAAATAAGGAGTGTTCCTTGTATAAATGATCCTCCATCAGTTGTTCAACGACACACTCAGTGTGGGTCATATCAGAACTCACATTAGTACCTTGACCAGTATATATTAATATTTTTTGTACCAAACCTATTGGTTCAGTAACCATATATAATGTCACGCCATATTTATGTCACTTGTTTTTTATGTATTGTCTAAAAAGTAACCGCCCACGCCATAGAACCATCGACTCGTCAAGTGATAAATTTTTTGACGGTTGATATATTTCTTTCATCCTGTTATTAAAATAATTCAAAACTGGTTCGATTTTATAAATACGACTTATATTTTGAATATCAGATTCAGATTCTGGGTTGGTACAAAAATGTAGAGCTCTCATTATTAGCATGTATCTATTTTTGCTCATACTGGCTCTAAAAATATTCAGATTGAATAATTTACTAGTTTTCCAATAGTCTTCAATTTTTGACATTTTTATTGTACCAGTATGAAATAAAAGTCCAAAAAAAATTTTCAATTCATCAATATCAACATCAACCCAATTAGAAATTCTAGTCTTATCACTCGATCTGTTCATATACAAATCTGCCGCATAATTGTTAGTCTCTTTGACAACTAAACTATAAAAATCACTAGTCAATAACAAGTTGAAAAAATCAATTGGTTGATCACCYTCAGGTTGTACTTTCAATCCGGAATTTTCATTAAAATTTATTTTATTTATACTCGGTTTGTCGTCTACCCATGTGTAATTATTTCGACTAATTCTAGGAGTAGGAGCCCGCTTACCAATTTGTCTAGTTGTAGGTAAAGAGAGTTCAATATCTGGCGTAGGAATAGTAATTTCATTTTCATTTTCAATTGGGGGACTACCCTGTCTTATATCATTTACATCTTCTTCATCTGCAGAGTCGCCTTCTCCTAAATCTGTACCCGAAGAACAGTCTAAATCATCATCAGATGATAAAGGCTCATCAAATAATTTTGACACTTGGTCTTCACTAAGGCAAATGTAGCAAAACMTCTAGATTAAAGTTATGTTCTCCAAAAAGTCGCGGCTATTCGGTAATTTCTCCATTTATTGTATTTAAATTGTATATAATATGTATAATCCAAAAAATATATTATTATGTTGGTACATATGTATTAATATATTTCTATTGACCTGTTTATTCATTTAATTACATATTGATATTGCATATTAAATTTTTTTATTATATCTGATGCGATGAACAAATACATGGGCGTAGCGAGTGTGGGCGTGGGAGGGCAAGTGCCTCCCCTGCACTACAAACTAAATTGTATTTCTTATACCACACGTGTAAGTTTTACGTTAAAATTGAAATAAAAATAAAAATAGTTTAGTGGGACCGATTGATATCTACACTTGTAATCGTTTTATATTTTATCGATTAGTCTATCTAAAGATAACTTGAATATTATGAGTTAAACGCTAATCGTTGTGCTTTATACATTAATATCAATAGCGATAGGCCCTTTTCACACACAGACGGTTTCCGTGTACACGGCAACCGTTTACACGGATGTAGACGTTTCACACATACACGGTTTTCTTGCGGTTTCCGCACAGAATAGCCGTGGTAGAACCGTAGTARTTGATACAACCTGCCCGTTGTCAGTTGTAATTTGCTGTCGAGGTCTATTTGTTTATTCTATTCTATTTTTT